TTATCATTGTTCGACAATAAAATGGTTAAGAGTTCTGGATATTTGATTCTGTTCRAGGTAATTCAACTTTCACACAGAAGAGCAATGGTCCTGATGTTGCATATCATTTATGATTTAACACCAGACAGATGGAAGATTATACAAACATCTGCAAAATTATTCTCTATTTAATTTAAGTATTGGTATGAGCATTGTGCAGAACTGTTGGGAAATTAGACCTAAGTTTATGCTGGGAGTTCATTTTAATTATACATTATAATTAAGGTAAGAGAAATAGACTCTGTAAAGATCACCAGCAAAAAAGGATGAGCTGAAAAATGGAGAGGGACGAACTTTGCCCTTAGTGAACTGCTGAATTGTTTAAAAAAAGAACAAATTGGAAATGTAAATGCTAATTAAAAAGTATCCAGTCAATGTGATCTAACCATCTAAATGGAGCCTTATTGGACATAGACATGGTGAGGGGTTGGAAAGGATACAGGGGGCAGACTATATTTGTGGAAAGGCAAAGATAGTATAGTCAATATTTACTCTGAGTAATTGGTCTACACTGCTGTCTGCAAGATACACAGCCGTCCCCAGTCATCCCTACCTTATCTCCTTCTGTTCTCTGGTAGACTGTGTGGCCACAGTTGTACACAGCAGAGCTGTGCTGCTATGCACAATGCCTCCTATTATCCTCAGTAGAACAGTAAAAGCATATAGGATYGTAGCTTTGTGCTCAATGTGTGGATGGAGTCATGACTGTTAAAATTGTCAAGACGGGTGTGTTGCAGTTCCCACGAAGAATAGTGTTTGTGTCAACGAGCTTGTGGTAATGAGGTAGAATTGTTTGTTACCACAGTGTAAACCACTGGTTTATGTTTATTCATACCTAAAAAAGGATGTGTTTAGATCACCCTCTAAACTTTTAAAGGTATGATTTAGGCTATCTTAAAAATGCATTGGAAAAGCACACACACTGTCTCTTTGCTCTCCTTCCATACTCTCAAAGCAACTTTCCAATTAACCCTCTGTCCCTCTCCAGCAGCTCTTTGAAGTCATTTTCAATGGTTCCATCCTACATTTGTTCTGCATGCCTCTGAATAGACATTTCTGGCATATTTCATTCTGCAGTGCTGTCAACACTGAGAGGCCCTAATCACACTTACTTTGTGTAAGTTTGATGGCCTGTGAATGCTCATGAAAGCTGCTGAGTGATGGGCAGTATTGTTGCTGTGTTATTAGGGAACACAGAGAGAAGGAAAACAAGACATTACAGTCTGTGCGTAGCAGGTACTCATACCTGAACAATACCGCAAATCAGTTCGGGCAATTATGGAAAACCTATTTTTAGCTCATACCATCTAATAGCATGATTTAGTTGTACCTTTTTACTTCCAGAATGTTCATTTTTTTGTGAATCTTTTGTCAATAGAAACTGGAAATGGGAAAAAAATAGCTGAAGCTCATTTTGTAAAGAAGTRCTATTGTAAAGGAGCTTCTTTTGATGTGTTTTTACAGAATAACAATGAGCGTGGATAGCTTTGTATTTTATCTACTTGAACTTGCATGTCCTTGAAAATGAGCAGCAATAACACAAATATAATTACTTTTTCGTGTTGTGTTCTGCTTTTGAAGTCCAATGAGAAACATGCCTTTTTTTATTAGTTTAAAAAGTTTTCTAGGGTCTTAATAAAATGTYTGTGACTTGCCTTTTTAAAACACCACAGAGGTATAACAAACCCTCCTCTCAWCTATAAATTCACACCTCTTTTTTAAGGGATGAGTTATGACAATTGTCTCCACCCAACCCGGTGTGTTTGTCTCATTTCAGCCTGGTCTTACAGCTTTGGGCTGCTGTGAAACTGCAAACTAAAACTTGGACACAAATTGTTCTCTTACAGAGGGTGATTGTCAGATTAGAAAGCRGAGAATGCATAGCCTGAGGACTCAAACGAATAAACTCTAAACTGATGGGAAAGAAATAAATGATTGGCAGTTTTTTTTTGTCTGCATTTTGCACAGTGACAGCTGGTGCTGAGTCTTCTTTTAGAACTGATMCATGTAATGAGTTGGCTCAGGTTAGAACATTGTAGCAGCCATAAGGACAAACAGCCTGAATCACATCATACAGCTTCCTTCATGACCCCTGGACTTAGCACCATATTCTGAAAAATATATAGTTTTCCTGCTGYGTTTGTACCTCCCATCCATCCAAAACTTTGTAATTGTAATTATTTTAGAAACAGTGAGGTAGCTGCCTATTTTGCCTTGGCACATTATCACTTTGTGCCCTGGAAACCCAAACGTTGGAGCTGTTTTTATTGCTTTATTTTTATGCCTGTGTTTTATGTCCCACATCCAAAAAGTGATTGCAACATGATTTGATAAAGGTTGAGAATCCAAATACTTCTCCTCTGAGCTTGGTCTGTGATGATCCAATCCCCTGCAAACCTGCAAAGCTCACTATATTAAAAAAAAATCCAAACCTAGTGTGGCCTAAGGTACTTTTTTAATGTTTAACTTCTGACACCTGTATATGTTACCCAGCTCAGAAAAAAAAAAAATATATATATATATATATATATTTAAAATAACCTTTTCTCTTTAAGGTTTGACCTTGTTTTTCCTCAAAGGATGACTATATGTGGATCCATTCATTGCTTTTTCCATCCATTGCTGTCATTTGTAAGATGTTGTACATGAAATCATCTGCAACATTATCTGTGACTGACGCAACAAGATACCTCACAGGTTAAGATGCTGCAATGCTACCATATTAAATCCACTGTTTGTTTCAGTCTGTGGGAGCAATAAGTGCAAACTTACTATAAAAAGAGAGAAAAGTAACTGCCATATTTTCTGGAATTCTTATTTTTTTATTTTTTTGTGTTTGTATGAAATTAAACACAAAATAGTGGTAGGCTTTATTACCTACCGAGGGGTACCAAAGATGATGTGCTGTTTTATTTAAGAGAAGATTGATTCATGGTTTCTACCTGCTGTAGAGATGGTGAGAAAATAAACTCTGGTTCAAATTTTCTAAAAATGAAATGTCATAGTATGTGTCTTGACGATTTTGTTGCTCATAATAGGATTTGCCAATAGAAAGGTTTATCTGTTATATTAATTAAAATTCTGTCGTAAGTGTTTTTGGATACATTTAAATAGTACTTTGCTGTTCAAATCATGCTGATATTTGTTAGTATTAATAAGTGTTCAGTGGAAGTGCAGGTGGTGAAATATTAAAACATTCCAAGGCTAGAAGCTGGAAACAGATCCTSAAATAGAGCATTAGATATTTTTGATTTTATTTCTGCAGCTAAACAATGTTATACAAAATTCCTAAATTTGTCATTGTACATGTTAATAATTGATAATGAATTTGCCATTATAAATTAGCCAAACCTATATTAACCCTTGGCAACTAACCATCTCCCAACCTGCTTTGCTGTTAGAAAAAATGTCCCCCTACCGTTATTTTTATTTTATTTTATTTTCACATTTCTTAACTTTACTCTTAAAGTTACAGCAGTCTGTAAAGACCCTCATTTTTTGTTTGGTTGCTTTGCTCTTTTTTTATTTATTATTATTATTATTATTATTATTATTTTATTTTTTTGCAACGGTTGCACCTTCTGATTTCTGCTTTCAGTTCAGATGAAGGTGCCTATCAGCTGAACCCAGTCTGAGCACTGCCACATCAKTGTTCTTCAGTCTGGCCTGAACTTCTCATTACTGCCACATAGCTTTGTTTACGATCTAAACCACTCACCGCGTGGTCAAACCTTAGCCAAAAGGCCATGTTTCACATTCCAGCTCATTATGCTGCAGCTGCACAGCGTCAACTAGATATGCCCTAACCTCTTTCAGAACACAAATTTTGTATTAAATGTGTTTATTTGTGGTCTTTGTGTGTGTCTATGGATATCTGTGTTTAATGTGTAAAATACGTACATTGTATATTTTTTGCGCTTGTGTCCTTATCTTACCTAGTACGATACCGCCTYGCTTTAAATTGATGCATTTTCCCCACAACCTAATTAACACTGAATGATCTTCTCTGCTTTAGTGTTGATGTGGTTGTCCTCTTCTTATTTGCTCTTAGGCCATGTTCACACTGCACGCAAATGTGACCCATATTGGATTTTTTTTCCTGACAGTCTGAACRTGACAAATCTGATTTTTTTTWATCCAACCCCGGCCTTTTCAGTATGTGGTACTAAATAGGATACATAAAGTATCTAATGTTTTTCAAAGCAACAGCASTTTGAATGCTGGTTTTGCATCTCATCTGACTTTTACACTAGTGAGGTGGAGGATACTCACCTTGAGTCATGCAGTTTAAATCATATAACTCCACATCTTCAGCTWCAGAACAGAAGTCCAGTTGCTTTGTCKTYGTTCTTTTAAGTTCCCATGTCCTGAACTGGTAACTTCTAAATTCAGTTGCAGACCGTATAGATACTAAGTTACTTGATCTATACTCTTTTTAGCATTTCCTTTAATTTCAAAAATAAAATGTTGCACAGGAGCATCCAGTCAGAGGCAAGTTCAAATAGAAACACCCAACTGAGCAAACAGGTCAGATAATTATTTATTAATGATTGCACAACTTCAGAACTGACATGCTAACAAGTAGCATCCATGTTTAGCTACGTCTGTAAACAGAGACTTGAATGTGACCTCACCTCATCTTCTGCACATGCAGGTTGCATCAGGGTCTTGTAGAGTTCACACAGGACTCTTATTGAGGTCACATTTAAAATATAATGTGAATGTCTGCAAAAACAATCAGCTTCGTGCAAAAAATGGAATTGAGCATTAAAATCTGTAGCATGAACTGTTTTTTTTTTCTTAAACAGAATCTTTCCCTCTAATGGGTCTATTTTTAGACAGTAGATGAAACCACGATCTTGCATATTAACTGTGGTGATGATTTTCTTTGGAACAAGTTTCATTTCTTTGTGATGCAAGAGATTGTAATAGTCTTCTGTTTCTTTGTGTTTGTCATTCAGAGAGCCAGCTGCTCCSTGGGAATAACTTCACCACCGAGTGCAACATTCCTGGAAACTTCATGTGTGGAGATGGCAAGTGCATCCCAGGCGGCTGGCAGTGTAACGGACAACCTGACTGCTACGACAAGAGCGACGAGAAAGACTGTCGTAAGTTCAACTTTAGACACTATTGTGGAATCCTGTTTCAAGTCCAGCAGCTCTGCCGTACAGTAATAAAGCCAGATTACCTATTTAGACTCATGTCATGTTCTCTCAGCTCTCCAACTCTTCTTGCTACAGTGTTCCTGTCTTAGTTGTTCTCTCTTCTCTGACCGCAGAGCCATAAGGGCTGGTAAACCTTCATTCTCTGACAATACAAATTAACTTCCCTCCTCTTTCCTCCCTCTCCATCRTCCCACCAGACCAGTTTAGTTCCAAGCTCAAAACTTAATACCATCAAAGCAAAGGCCGATTACTTCTGTGTGCAGGAAGAGCAACGCACGCATGATTGTACTGTAGGGCTACTGTAGTAGTTCRTTTTTAAACCTCACATTCGGCTGCCTTTGATCTCTCTGGGCTGCTGCTGCTCCTCTCCTCCCTCCCGTTTCAGCCACCGTTCTACGCAAAGATGGGATCGCAGATGAAGATTGACTTTGAGTTTCTGGCACACTGAATCTAAACCTCAGTATATTCAYAGCTCAGAATTTCTCAGGCTTCCATATTTACTCCTCCAAGCGCACTTGTGAATTATGAAATTTGATATCATTTCTGGCTTTTTGTTTGTGATTTGCATCGTAGAAGGCTTCATGCAACATTTTTTATATTTTATTTTYCTGACCTGGCTGATACTCTCCTTGAACAAAATCACACGTGGCTTCTCCTCCATTCTGTCACTTCTCTTCATTTTTTTTCATCTTCCTTGAAGCAATCTTTTTTTTTCTCACTCTTGTCTCTTGTTGGCAGCTCGGGAGCAGGAAGACGACTTTTGTGTCCCGTAGCATTTCGGCACACACGCACACCCAAAAYGCTAAACTTTGCTGTCATGAGTCATTTTTGCATGCGCTCCCCTAATTGTTTATGTACATATTTATGTTGATGCATGGAAAAATACTTCASTAAACCAACCCTTTAGTTTACCTTTCCAACTGACATCCATGTTGCATTAATGCACTACTTACACAGGTGGATTCTGTGCCCCAGATTCTCATCACTTAGTGACCTTAAACTGCCAACAACTGCCAGACCTGGAAAAAAAACAATACTCAGATGCATATATTTGGTGTGTTTTATACTRTACATACAGTAAATATGTTTCATTTAGAATACTTTCACTTGAACCTCCAACTCTGTATTTTTGACCATTGCCGATTTTACATGTACACCATCTACTCTCAAAGATAAAAGTTGTCTCAAGGCATCATGCTCAGCCTGCCTCTGCTGTCAGGGGACTATTTGTGTTTGTACGCATCTACATTATCTCTTCTGGCGTAAGTGGGCCTTATTATCCAGGCTAGTTGTCAGGCGTCCGCTGCAGAAAAGTGTTCTGGCTCCGTTTAGGGCTCTGCGGAGACAGATGGACCGACAGACAAATGGAAGGATGGGGTGGGGGGTGGCGAAAAGGGAAGTAAGGGAAGAAGAGGGACTCATTATAGTGGCTTCAGCAGGAGTTCTGTCAGGATGTGTATTATCTAAGGACAACACAACGCCTGGAAACTTTTTAAGGCTGCAGCTCTGATTCTCTGCAAGCAGAATCATAATTAGTCACCCGCTGCTGGAAACACAAACACACACACACACACACAAACTCCAGATTATATATTTATTTAACCGAKGGGGGATGGAAGGTTTGCTCATGTGAGTGACAGTTTGTTGACTTAGCTTACTCGCCTTCTGTCCGTGAGCTACATGAACCGTGCGGGCTTATGTAGAATTCTCAAAAAAAAAAAAATGCAGTCAGTTAGACTTTTATTACCATTAAATAACCATAAATTACACAGGGTGTTATAAGCAGAGGTGTCAAAAGTATGCACATTCATTAAGTAGAAGTATAGATACTAAGATTTAAAAATACTTGGAAGTAGAAGTATCAACTCAAGCTTTTACTCAGGTAAAAGTATAAAAGTACTGGGTAATGGGTTTTTACGATGTAAAAACAAGTGTGCATTGCCACGTAGCTTGTCATTGCAGCATGGCTTTGCCTGCAGCATTGGACTTGCAGAATGAACTTTGACCAAGTTCAAATGTGTTTTCTATACCAGCTTGTGCCTGTCACGTCAGCAGGTGTTTTGAATTAAGGTAATTGTGTGACAATATGAAGTTTGAAGAGATTGTTTCTTAAAGTTGCGTTAGCTGGGTTTTGAACCCTGATC